GTAGGTATTATCACTATTCATGCATTGAATAACAACTTATTACCATTAGATTGTATTTATATTTAGTGCATCATGACTAACTTCTTCCCCTTCATCTTAGCTTTGTTGTGGTGCAGCATTTCGGAAGAAGATAACTAATTGATTCTCTTTAATACCAAACACAATTGCTATATTATTAATACACAACTTTAAGTCTTCTTAACGTTTGGTTGTTGTGATTAGGTGTTGTTGTTTGAGTATTCACAGGTGAATCTTCATCTTTGAAATAATGTTCAAGTGCCAAACAACAACAAGTTGGTGATATTATTTCGCATTAGTATTTCTATTACTACTTACAGTTTAATAGAATATATTCTTTCATCAAAACCATTGCAGTTTGTCTAATCTGTCTGCAGGTAGGAAAAACAACAAATAGAGGGAATTCTATAAGAGAGGAAAGACAAGTCATGTAACTGTGTAATATAATAGCAATTAATACGTATATTATTTATTGATTTAAGGATCTCAATAAATATTTCAAATTATTTCAAAATTGTAAAATTTAAATATTTTTTTACAAAATACTGCCAGAGTTAAATATTTCCTTTTTTGAACTAGAAACCAAACACAATATGAAATTCATCATGATTAGACATCACACCGTAAGTATTTATTGGTTTTATTTCAGCTTTAATCAAATGATCATGAAAATATTAATACCTAAGTCAAAAGCAATTTTTTTGAAAGCAATACGATTTCGAATTAGAAATTTTGAACATTTCCTTTTTGGGATTCACTTAAGAAAACATGAATTAAAAACAATCAAATCATCCCTCCAGAGGTATTAAACACTTTCAATATAACATATGGTAGATTGTAATCAGTCTCAATAGATAAATATGTACATCTTCATCCAACCCAAATCCTTAATTGTCAAGTTGGAAGGAATTTTTAATATCAAAAGCACTTATTTGAATTTCAATAGTGGTGTGCATAATCATTGATATTATGTAAACATTGTTGTTTAGATAACATTTTCAAACTCTAATGGGTTGATAAGAAGTTGTGGCCAAAAATTCGAAATAGGTTTATTTTTTTTAAAGTGGCGGAGCGGATATACATAAACTCATAACTACAATATTAATATTATAAATTTGAATTCTTCTTACCTCGTTACAACTTCATAAAATTTCATCTTTCCATTCATAACTGAATTTTCAATGTGTTCCAAAATGACGGAGTTTACTTCTCTTGTAGAAGCATATCTTTTAAAAATGTTAGTAAACTCTTTCCTTATTCCTGTATCGTTAGGGAGTGGAATATTGATAAGCTTATCTTCTATTGTAAAATCAGTAAACATTCCAG